TTTCGGAAAATCCCGTGCTAAATGTTACGAGCCCAAAGGCGAAAGACAGCGTACTTCCACAACCTGCCCCGCGAACTCTGAAAGATAAAGATCTTACCATCGCCCAACATAAAAGTGAATTGAAGTACTCTGATTTGGATTCGGATATAGATGAAATATTACAGATGAGATAAGATGTATTATATCAGGTATATACACATATGTATTAATATCATCATTGATTGTATTTATATAGCTTTAAGATATTGCCATAATATCTTCCTCTCTATGCTGTTGATGTCACAAGCTGAATAGATCTAATGTACAGTTTACTATATAGTTTTTATACATACATGATTAGTAATGTAAAAATACATGTTTACAAGTGGATAAACGAATACAAGTTTTATATAATGTTTCATTTAATATGCGTTTATATGTAGTTATTTGTTAGGCTTTTTGATTACATATTTCCCTGCATTTTTAATATCGTTCTGTGTTGCAGTTTTGATGTTGACAAGTTTCTGCAACAGACAAATTGCTTTGTAACAAATGAATTTAAGTTAAGACTTTTTACACAGATTATATTATATACTGACTCTCTAATCTCATTAACGATATTTTCAAGCTCGATAGGAATTGCTATCTGTCTAAAATGTTCCATCTCTGACAAAAAAATTGGTTTCTTATAAGGTTGGCTTGTGTATGATTCATGAATGAATTCACTTAAGGAGTGAAAGGCTTCTGCATAATCATCCATAAGTAACTACAATAGAAATTAGTAATATAAAACTCAAAACTGTGTTAAATGCAAATAAGACTGATATGCAAGAACAAGGAGGTATTACTTACCACCAAAGTAAAAAAGCCAGGATGACTTTCGTGATAATCTAAGTACAATTTTCTCGTTTTTAGAACAAGTTCAACATACGTATTTTTTAATGCTTCTGCTTTTTCATGCATTGGCTTTTCTTGACGCTATGTATGAAAGTTATAATGTTATTTACACTATGATACTTTCTCTTCGAATTCTGAGCAACTTTTCTTATTTTTCCATATACTTATGGGAAATATTTAATCAAGTTTTGAATACTATGCGATATTTATAAAAATTATGTCTTATATCTATTGAGAAATAACAAAAGAAATTTCGGAAAGAATATTTCAAGCACGTACTATCTGCGTTTCTTCTTCGGAAGATATCGAATCGCTAAGATCATTATTATCGAAATCATTAAGTGTATTCCTGATCAATGTATTACGACGGCGTAACATCCTTGACCTATGCATTTCATGTTTTGTCTTTTTATCATCGATGATGATGTTTGATTCCTCATCTAGTAGTACCTATTTATCGATACCAATGATATAAAGTGCTCAGAATTCTGTTTAAAATTGTACTTCATACTTTTAATCCTATCACATCATGATTTTCTTCAGACAGCAGTTGATAGTCTTCACTTTCCGTTGTCGTGAGTGCAACGCGTTTTTTTTCTTGCGCCACTAGTTCACTCCTTTGTATTGTGACTTTCGGTAACATCGTTTTACTTTGCAATATTATGTCGGTCATCGTCGCTCCATTTTGCGGCCTTACGCTGACGCTGTAACTTGGGAATTCTAGACGACGCATTATCTAACGATATATATATATATATATACACACTTACAATTAGCGTAATTTTTATACAATACAATACATCTTGTAGAAAATTATGTTTGACAAGACAAACCTCGTCCAAAATTTCCTTGACGAAATTTAGTATACAACTAGCAGTTTCTGCTTCTTTATCTTCCCGATGTTTGCTTATTTTAACGACTAATAAATTTTCTACGCTGTCTTTGATCCATGTGTGGACCTCAAATGTCTCCTGTATCCAGTCTTTGTGAAGATCCACACTCTGTGTTAGCACTAAGATCGGCTTGACGTTCGGATATCGTTTAGAGATTTCTGTAACCGCATAGAGATTCATTTGTGTAAGTCCAATTTTATTTTCAGATATCAACGGACTGATTTGATTTGTATCTGTAAAAAAATACATTCTATAAATGCACATGTATTTCTATAAATGTATTTACGATAGTTTTATATGGCTTAATCCAAGTAATATCGGACACTAACGAAATCCATAACTTTCACCCAACAGGTCTAAGATAACTAAAAATTCACCACGTCGTGCCATGTCGTTAAACTCTTCTCGGTTTACAAGAATATAAGCGTTATGCTCGTTATCGTCTTCGCATATTTCTTTTGTAGTATGCCAGCGACAGTATTTTATCTGCAAGAAATCGCATTTTTTAGTTTTAAAAATATTTACAATAAAAAAAAATATATTTTTTTTTATTACTTTTTCAGGAATTGTTCGAGCCAGGTGCAATGCCAATGCCATTTTCTTCAGTGCTGATGGTCCTGTTAGTATCATCAGAGGAGGGCTGATTTCGTCATAAGGTTGCACATGGTCATCCGTCTTGCTGATATTTAACTGTTCCAGTAATGTTAATTTTGCTACTTTACGGGCAGCTATCAAATCTAATGACGATGCAAATAGCATGGCTGATGTTACCTGAGAAATATCTATATTCGATATGATTGTACATAATGCATATATTTTTCAAAAATCGTTTGGCTTCACCTTTTCCGTCGTAAATACTTCAACACCATCGATAAATCTAACGCTGGGTATGGAGGATATCAGCATGTTTCGATAATTGGGCCATTTCGTGCAGATGTTACCTGTTAAGTCTACCTCATCTATCGAACCCTTCAGATTCAGCACTTCCAACAAGTCGGAGATTTTATTAAATTTTAGATCTACGTAACGTAAATTGTACGCATCCTAATTGTATATGAAACGTAATTGCATAATTATTCATTAAAACGGAATTTATGAAGTTTCAAATCTAAAGTTTCGATGATTACTTTGAAAAATTCTAAAGTCGATAATCTATTATATCCCAGAATTATTATTCGTAAATGAGGCAACGTGTTTATGCCACGACCGGGTGTAGCGGATTTAAACGACGTTATGCAATTGCCTTCTAAATTTAATTCCCGTATATTCAGATTATCCAAATTTCTTATGCATTCGATAAGGTTGTAGGACAAGTTTACATATTGCAAGTGTCTAAAATAGACCAAGTGATAAAATATACAAGTTGCAAATACACATCGTATACGTCAATTTTATATATGTATATATATATATATATATATATATATATATATATATATATATATATATATATATATATATATATATATATATATATATATTTACTTTAAATTTTCTAAACCAGAAATATTTTCTATAGTGTTGTGAGATAAATTTAATCTGACGATACTCCAACAATTTTTCAAATCACCTATGTCCGTCATGTGATTGTAAGATAAATTTACATAAGTAAGATACCAAGGAGGTGCGAAATTTGGCAAACGCTTAATCTTATTGTGCGATGCGTTAAGATACATCAAATACGGAAGACTGCCCAAAAATGGTAAACACGATATATTATTATAGGCGATATTAATATATTGCAAGTATCGATGATACTGCAACATAGTGACGTCTGTCAGATTCTGAAAAGAGAAAAGTAGCGGGAATAAAGTATATATATAGCATTTTTGGGAGGAATTCATTACTAATCTATATTATTTAATTGCAGAGAGAAAATGACAAAGAGAGAGAAATGGATTTTTTAACATTACCCTGTGCTTCAGGATACATTTACCGAAAATGTAAAGACCATTCTCGGGTGATCTTGTTAAAAAGGATAAACCGGTGCCTATTAATCTGTCGGATAAGAAACCGCAGCATTCCCTGTTATCGAATGATATCTCATTTGGTCTTATTTGTATCACAGGCGATTTGCTGTCATCCCATAAATCTAAATCCAAGGCGTATCCTCCCCAATCGCTATCGATAATTCGCTGTTTTTGCTCGTGATCAACAGAGACGGATTTACATTCGTACGATTCAGATAAATAGACCTTTATAAAGGATACAGAATAATTATTTCAAATCATTCGAATTAAAGTTTAAATAAGAAAAGCTACGAATAATACACATTTAGAGTCGAAACTGTTGACGATATTCGCGGAGAGTTTTTGGCAGACGTATCTTGTAATTTTTCACACGGAATATTTATATCCTCCAGACTATCTTCATACATTTTGTTTCTTTTTTAATGTCTTTTGTAAATTTGTTGTGTATTTTTTGAATATAAAGATTTCTTAATAACTAAATATGAAATATAAAAGAAGTAAAGATAGAGTTAACATTGTGTTATTAGCATGTCAGTAGAAGTTTTCAGCTATTTTAAACAATCGAATTGCTGTCTCTCAATTAATATATCTATCGATAAAAAATATTAATTTAAAGAGAGATATTTCATCTGTTTCAATTAATAAAACGTAATAAACCTGAATATTAAAAATGTTAATTAACGAAACGTGAGAAACTGCGCGAATATTGAAAGTGTTTTTAATTGACGAAACGCAATGAAACAATCATTTTGAACAATTTCAAAAAATAAAAATAATACCGCACTTTTCAACATTAACCGTATTGCTCTTCGCGAGAGGTTACGATTGGTCGTTCACTGCGCATCCCACTACGCGCATCCCATCACGTTACCCTTCTCGTATCTTTACATCATGGCCATTTCGGCGCACTTCAGGGCTTCAGTCGATTTCCGGCCGTCTCTCTCGTTCGACGCAACGTGTTGTGATCTCGCATCTCGCGCGAGTTCCGTTGTAGTCGCGTTGTAATTAATTTACGGATCGCGAGTGAACAATCCGACCAAAAGTTGAGCAAAACGTGCGCGGATCAGGCGCTCATCATCGCGGAACGTGTAAATACGTGCGAGAGATCTTGGCACTTATATATCTAGAATAAGGAAGTAAAAGAGAGGGAGAGAAAGAGCGAGAGAAAGAGAGAGAGAGAGAGAGAGAAAGAAAGAGCGAGAACGCAAGACCGCAAAAATGTCAGAGATTGACGCAAAAGTGAATATGTCGCTCGGTAAGTGGCCAGAGTCCCAACAATTTAACGATTTTGCCAGTAATCCTGGGTGAGCGTACAGCAGCGTACAGCTTTGCAAGCACATTGTCCCCCCGTAAAAATCCCGTACGAATAATGAACGACAAAATGGCGTCGGCGTACATGTGCACATAGAGTACCTGCATTTGTTTTCGGTTGTAAATCCGGTTTCTCCCGTCGTGTCTCGTCTCTCCCCGACAAGGATTAATACAGACGACAGGGCACATAACGGAAATAACGACGGGATGACCTCTGCGAGGGCGCATTAATGCATTAAACGAGAGATATTCTTAACATTCTTGAAGAAGAAGCGGCGTAGCAAAACGGAATTCGCCGCAATTACCTTCTCACACTGTCGTAAACGTGATTATTTCGCCGATAACTCAACAACCGCGATCTCTTCCGAGTCGAGTCGTGAATTTGTTGCAGCCGAAAAAGAAGGGAAGCTGGGAAATTCGAATAAAACACGAGGAAGCGGTACGGGAACTTGTCGTTCATTGTAATAATTCTAGGATACCACGTAATTTATTTGGTCTTCAGGAAGAGAATGTTCCTGCGAACAGATTGACGGAATACTAATCTCGGTCGGAATACTAAGGAACGATTCGACTATCCATGAGAAGAATTACTCCACTTTCATCACATCGCTATTGCTAGGAACTTTGCTTATTTCAGAAAAAAAAACACGTCTGCAAAGTATGAGCACGTTAATGTACAGAAAATGCGATAGAAATGACTAGAATTTTTATCAGGAACTTTGCATATACAAAGTTGGTTTGCGTCTTTTACATCTTTTCTACTTCTTCTTTCCCAGGAAGAAAAGAAGGTCTACGATAGAATGTATCGACAAGGAAATTCGACCAAAATATCAAGAAACAGAATCGAGAATCAGGAATATTCCATAAAGAATTGTTCTACGTGCGGATTAAACATAAGGCGAAATTTTATATCATACTTACATCTACTATACTTCTTAATCAACTGGGCCTTGATAAATGGACATAATTATCCTATTGTAATCATTAATGTATATTACGCACGTACAATCGATTTTTTATGATAGAAAACGTGCGGATTAATGGCGTGTCATCATGTTGGAATACCATGATTTTATAACATCTCCAAAATTATGGTTTTGCTTCGACTTTCAACAGTAAACTTCTGCGATAATGCCCGTGATCCAGTTATAGAGATAAAACCCGAGCGAAAATTGCAGTGGAAGGATTACCTTAATTCACGCTGCTACCGACATAAACGAGACAATATGTATATCATTACAATTACAATCTATTGTAACACGCGTCGCTATAATCCTAGATTATTCCGATTTCATCATTTAGAAAACATCGTCGTCGGAGTATGGTTCCCTAACAACGTCTCGAACATTATGGCTTCGGTATGCTTTCTTCTAGATGGACGAAAGAAAATCGTCCGGACTCATGAAGGGTCTCTTAAAAGACCGTGCCAAGCACGTCGCGCGACCGTGTATGACTCATCCCAGACGAAAATCTCACGCGCGGGACAAGCGCGAGACATTGCGCAATACTGTATTTTTATCCGTTGCATCGTCGACAAATTCTCCTATCGGCAAACGACAAATAAGGGAAATGGGACACCTTCTCACGATGCATATCTATCGACAAAGGGCTCATAACGGGAGCACGTTGCGCGCGGGAAAGATGAGATTTATTTAAGTTTCATTTCATGACGAATGTTTGATGGAGAAACTACAGTGGAATGAATCAAATGTGGATTTAATTTCGCTTCCTTAATCTGTATGGGACGCTACCCGAAATTAATTCATTATATATTGATATATAATATATCAGTATAATGTTTTACTGGCAATCCGAAAATGCAGGTACTCTGTACGCAAGCTGATCTTAATAATGTTCTATAACGAGGGAAAATGCGCAATCTAATGCTCGCAGACATTTCTAGGGGAGAGGAACATGTATATTTATATAGTTATCTGTATCAAAAATAAATTTAATGGGGCAATTATTTATACATGGGCTTCTTGAAAATCTTCTGAAATGCAATATTGTGTATGAAAGAGGTAACAATCGAATCGGAGGATTTATTACAAGAAGAATTACAACTGAGCTATTATCCAGAGCTTGAATGAATTTGTTATATAAAGAATGACAGGAAGACACAGTCAAAGAGAGGCACATCTCGCAAGAAGTATAATGTAAAAATTCCTGTATGAGGAGCAACAATTAGTGAAGAAATATGAACTGCAGCATTTCTCTAATAGCACACCATTTCGGAATAATCCATAAAGCAGCGAATGACAAATGGGGATAAAAATAAATGGATACTGAAAACTAAAATATTACGCGAAAACTTATATTGCACATATTAAAAATTTCTTTTTATTATAATAATTTAGTCGTGTTCCAAAAAAGTATTATTTAGTATCACTTATTTCGAATGAGATTATGCAAATGAATAATGATTCTCCCTTTTGTCCTAAATTTTGTGCCATTTTCTAAACATTTTACTTTTTATTAAATTATGTTATTTTAATATAATTTTGATCAATTAGAAGTCGGTATGCGATTCTTATAATTTTTTTTCTCTGCGATTGTCTTTATGAATTAATATTTTTTTGATTATTTGATTATTAACTATTATGTTATGATTTTATATCATATGGATAATGATTTCAGAAATGATTATCTATTAACTTAACAATTAGAATCTTTCATATTAATTTTTTTTATAATAAATTGAAAAAGATATAACCATAAAGATTGCATCCTATATATTAGTGCCTACACAAGAGTATCTTTATAGGCAAAGACCTTGGGATTATGAATACAATATGATATATATTTCTTCTCACCAACGTTGGATACATGCTGAAATGATAATTTGAAACGAAAAATATTTATTTAAGAAATTGCGCTTCTCTGTTGGAATTAAAATGCATCGAGGAATGTATTATTAAATGTTTCGAATTAAAGTTTCATAAAGATTAAAGATTCGTCATCTCGCGCCGTACGTTTGCCGTACGCTCATTAAATATTGCGCATTTTCTTTTAAGATGAAATCATAAAGATGGAGAAAAAGAAAAAGAACGTGGCGGCGAATGGAAAAACCGGCGGTCCCAAGCGTAATCGCGGTGCTATAAGAAGCCGAACCGGATTTAGAGGAAGAGGTACAAGAATTAAACGGGGCAATGTCGGGGTCATCGTGAAGAAACAGCAGCAGCAACAGACTTGGCAGCGCAATGCGAATAACACAAATAATGTTCGCGGTTTCGCTAAGAATCGCTTTAAGAAGAATGTCGGTAATCTCGCGAGATCGCGCAGCAATTTGAGTTTGAATCAGAAAACGAACGCGAGAGGTGCGTTCAACGTGCGCCGTGGCAGAGGCAATAGATTCTCCGGTTTGACTCGTAGCAGAAGTCGCACCAACCTGACGTTCAATCAGGGCGGCTTCTTCACGAATAACAAGAGCCCGTTAAAGAGAACAAGTAGTTTGCCTAACTTACGAGATCCGAATTCTGTCCACAATCGCCTAGGATATCAAAGTCCTGCTCAGATCGCCTATCGGAATCGTGTGAAACGTGCGAAGCAGCTGCTGCTACAGAGACAGAATCAAAGATTAAACTTACAGAATCAATTCAGAGTAAGTTAAATATACATATATATATTTTATGAGACATAAAAATGATATACGAGATACTAATGAGATATATATACGTATTGTTACAGCTGGCACAGACCGGACAGAAGACTCTACTCTCTATGCAACCAAGAACTTTGGGAAGGCAACAGATATTAACGTCGCAGCGTCGCTTTACAACCGGTGGACTGCGATCCGATCAAATCGCTCGTGCCCAGAGGCGAGCGCAATATGAACAAAAATTGATGAGAATGAAGTAAATTATAATTCGTCAAATGAATTTTGCAGCTTGGTTATTCTTTTATATATGTGATCACAATTATTAAATTATATAAAAACATCGATTTAATATTTTATAATCTAAATTTATTTATTGATAATGTATAAAAAATTAATTGTTCTTCCGTATAAGATACAATGTTTTAATTATAATGATATTGTAGCTCTGCCCGACTGACTCCTACTCCAAATGTCAACTTCATGTGCACACTGGGAAGTGAGTACACACCTACCACCACACGTCAGCGACCACTCACTCTCAACCAGAGTCGACACACTGCGACCATCGGTAACATGCGACAACTACCTAGAGGACGATCGCCATATAGACAAAACGCACAGGGTGTAAATATGGTAATATTTTCTTTTCAAGTTTTTTTCTCTTAAAGTATGTCTTTTTTTCTTATAAAACATTCATTTTTTTAAATTTAAATACAAGATTTATACGATAGATATGTTTATCGTAATTCTAGATTGGTCGAGCACCATTATTCGGTGCACAATTCGGCCGGCAACGCTCGAGATCGAGATCACGATCACGTTCGGGCACGCACAACACGAACACATCCGATTCCAGTGGGGACGTCGATGATCGCAGTTTCAGCGAAGTTATGTACAGCCTATCGGGAAATCTCGGCGTTACAGGGCGAACTCTTAATGATCGGTTTAGTTTTTAACTGATATAATCTCGAAAACTTTACTTTATATTCAAAAACTTATTGATAATCTATTAATGATAATTTACTGGTAATATAAGAAAAACGAAGGGAGAGTAACGTTTTTGTTTTTAATAATACAATATAGATAAAATGTTGTTCTTTTTTTTCTATGTAAACATTATTAATGACAATGCAATGCGCCCAATGCATTAATTAACAAATAAATTTTTTTTTTTTTGTTTATTTTAATGCAAAAGTTGATTTAAAGTATCGCTTTCTAGCATTTGCACTGTTATGTGTGTACAAACTATTTGTAGGGAATATCACGAAAGGTAGCACTTTTATCAGAGATTTATGATAATCATACATATGGATAGTATGAGAAGCGATTTTCATCTATCAAAATTAAAGAAATCTTGATTTTTTTTATCTGTGTGCAATACCTTTGTAAAATCTTCAGTATTTTTTATTACACGAAAAATAGAGAGAAGTATGTTATGTTTAAATACATATAACAGCATACAGAATTTATTGAGGGAGTTTCGATATTTAGGATGAAAATAAATCTCTTTTCTCTTAAGTGTATATTACATTTGAATATATGAAATAGATTGCTAATATCTTTTGAATGTACTTTCTTTTTGCTTTAAGAAATATACAAATCTTGACTATATATTGGAGTTGTATTTATCTTATTAAATTTACAGCATTCTAAGTGATACACTTAATTTAATTAAATATAAAGCTAATTATATATATAGATAATCTTAATTATAATCAAATTGAAACATAAAAATACACATACATATATATGCACAGACGTGTGTGTGTATTTTTATATTTCTATTTGATTATAATTAAGATTATCTATGTAATAGTCATACATGGGGCACACATGTGTTGTATATCAAAGTTATTCTTATTAAATTACAATCTGAATTTTAAATGTAAGTTTTTATATTGTATTACACAGAAATATAATAAAACATGTGTGAAAATACACATACATATATATGCACAGATGTGTGTGTGTGTATTTTTATATTTCAATTTGATTATAATTAAGATTATCTATGTAATAGTCATACATGGGGCACACATGTGTTGTATATCAAAGTTATTCTTATTAAATTACAATCTGAATTTTAAATGTAAGTTTTTATATTGTATTACAGAAATATAATAAAACATGTGTGTACTATGTTTCATATAAATAAAAAACATTAGGTAAGCAGCGATTGCAAGTGTCTTTCACAAACATATTTTATGGTAAACATGAAAACTTTTATATTACATAGTCTTAAGTTCTTCTAATTAAGATATTAATATTACGCCGCTGATTTTTTGTTATTCATTCCGGGGAATATGCGCGTATCTTTAATCAGAGTACGGGTTTACATTATCAATCGTTACATGAGCTCTTAATATACCGTTTTCTCAAAGAGTGATAAGCTGGATACAATGACGCAGTTGTAAAGAAATCTATTCGAAAAACATGGATATTTTTAACACGAGCAATGTGTCGATTCAAGTATCATCCACGTATATGAATCGCGATTCATTTATCACCGTTGCAATAAAAACGAAGCAAGCATAATATGAACTCGTCGTCTATTCAACCCTCAGTCGTATGAATGTGCACGAAGTACTCTCGCGAGATTTTTGTAAGTGAATTAAAATTTTTCTCTACATACGATGTATATGTATTTATAGGCACGAAATTGTCTGACGAAGTTGTAAAAACGAAATACCAAATCTAATGACAGTATACATCAGATGTCATATAGTAATTAAATAAACTGTCACTAATTGTCATCATGTCGTTTATGGTATCGTCTTTAGCAGGAATATGCGCTCGAGGAATAAATAAACAGGTAAAAACGATGTAATATTTAAAAGAAAATGTATAAATTATTTTCTGTAAAATTAATTTAAAATTATGCGATATGTGTAAACTGCGCGATTGCAGATAATATTTATATAAAGTACTTGTTCTCTATGTAGTTGTTAGCGCACAAAGTGCCGATCTTTAAACAACTGGTGCGAAATTTAGAGATACACGAGCACATGGCGTACACTTTATTAAAGGAAGCCGGCATTCC